TAATGATTACTAGTGCAGTGTCTAGTACTCCTTCTTCCTCAAAGCTAGTCAGCTAGATGCTGTGTGCTTTATATATAGTATATCTAGGCCTGACAGCAGACGTATTCCCTCCCATTTTACATACAAAGAAACTGAGGTTCAGTGAACTCTAAGGACTTGCTCAAGACCATACAGGGAACCACATATTTAAAAACCAATTCTACCTGGCTTTGAAGTCTGACTGATCCCACTCTGTTCCAAAGTATGGGAAGTAATGAAAATAAGACACTTGTGATGATATCTGTGAAGAATGTGAAACTGATTCGATTATGTGTGGGTGATAGACAAGTAAAGGTGGATTTGGGTAGGATTTTAGAATAGGAAGAGCATCTTGGAGATTTTCAAGTTATTCATTTATTTATAGTTACTGTTGTAAGTCTCATTCTGGACAGGTTTTGTTATTCCAGGGCCAGGCAAATTTGTCTGAGTGAGCCACCTTACTGAGTAGTGCTAAATAATAGATCAATCTCACATTGAGGAAGGACTATAGTGGCTTGCTTCAGGGTTCTATCTTCAGCCTTTTTTAGTAAATATTTTATCAGCAATTTGTATGCTGTTCATTAGAGCCAGATTAAAAGAAAAATCCCTCAGGAATGAGAGCCTGAAACTAACAAGTTGAATTAAAATAAGAGTAAAAAAGCATGCAATTAAGACTAAAAAGATCAACCAGTGAGGCACCATAGCAGAGAGGCCTGACTCAGTAATAGTGTGTGAGGGACAACACAGTGGGTGTGATGGAGAGAGCACTCTCTGACTTTGGGAACTCACAGAAATGTGTGGAATCCTGTCTTTGCTGCTTAATAGCTGTTTGATAGGCAATGTGATTTATTTACTCCAAATCTCTGTTTTCTCATCTGCATAACGGAAATAGTATGCTTACCTTGCATAATTACTATAAGGAATAAATACAGTATATAAGAGGTTGGCATGTAGATTGTGCTTCATAAAAGTAGCAATTTTTGCCTGGAAAAGACTTAGGTGTGCCAGTAGGTATTAAGTTCACAAATCTGGATACAACCACCATCATGACCACTATGGCCAATAATAGCAACTAACATGATTATTGGTGCCAGGCACTACATTTAGCTTTACAAACCTTGTATCACTTTTTTAGGAAGCCAATCTTATTACCTTCTTACTTATTTCTCACACCTTCAGAAGAGCCCACACAACTTACTCAAAATGAACAGTCTGTCATTCTATTTAGGGAAGGGGTCAATGGGGAAACAGTCTCACATAGCTGCAGAGGAAATTTGTATCAGCTATCAATACAGAACTATGTCCTTTATGCGTAAATATAAACAGTCAACCAAATGTCAAAAGAATCAGAAGAAAATGAGCAATATTAAAGAGAGGATTAAAAATAAACAAATAGAATAATTCAGGAGAAAACAGAGATAGAGTGCAGAAAATAACTTGTAAGAAAACCTTTAATTAGTGTCCTCAGAGAGATTATACAGGATATTGCATAAATTTAACAGGAATATGCTGATATCCTAGAAAATAGCATTAAAAGACTAATATATCAGGAACAGTCAAGAATGTTCACTGCCACCATTCCTATTCAATACCATACTGTAAGTCTGAGCTAATGCAATAAGAAAAGAAGAGGAAATAAAAGGTTTACACATTGGGAAGGAAGAAAGACAACTGTTCACAAATGACGTGACTGTCTGTATAGAAAATCCGAAAGAATCAACAACAAAAAAATTCTCCTGAAACTAATAAGTGATTACAGCAAGGTTGCAGGATAAAGGTTAATATACAAAGGTCAATTGCTTTCTTATATAACAGCAATAAAGCATTGGAATTTGAAATTAAAAACACAATACCATTTATCCCAAACAAATGAAAGACTAAAGTGTAAATTGAGGAAAATGTGAACAAGATTTATATGAGGAAAACTACAAAATTCTGATGAAAGAAATCAAAGAAGACCGAAATAAATAAAGATATGTTCCATGAACAATGACAGGAAGACTCAATATTATTATTATTTTTTAAAGATTTTATTTATTTATTTGAGAGAGAGAGAATGAGAGATAGAGAGCACGAGACGGGGGAGGGTCAGAGGGAGATGCAGATGCCCTGCCAAGCAGGGAGCCCGATGTGGGACTCAATCCCGGGACTCCAGGATCATGACCTGAGCCGAAGGAAGTCGCTTAACCAACTGAGCCACCCAGATGCCCCAGGAAGACTCAATATTATTACTAGGTCAGTTCTTTCCAACTTGATCTATAGATTTAAGACAATATCAATTAAAATCCCAGCAAGTTATTTTGTGAATATTAAGAAACTGATTCTAAAGTTTATTTAGAGAGGCATGATGTAATGAGCACTGGGTATTATATAAGACTGATGAATCACTGAACTTTACCTCTGAAACTAATAATACCTTATATGTTAATTAATTGAATCTAAATTAAAAAATTAAGAAAAAATATAAAGTTTATTTCAAGAGCAAAAGACTCCCAGGATAACCAATACAAAATTGAAGAAGAACAGTCAGAGGACTGACACTACTCAACTTTAAGACTTACTATAAAGATAGAGTGACCAAGATACTGTGGTATTGGTGAATCAGTAGATACATAGATCAATGGAACAGAACAGATGGCCGAGAAATAGACCGCCACAAATACAGCTAACTAGTCATTGACAAAGGAGCGCAGGCAATTCAATGAACAAAGTATATTCTCTTCAACAAACAGTGCTGGAACAAATGGACAGCCACATGCCAAAAAAAATTATACACGGACCTTATATGTTTCACTATAATTAGCTAAAAATGGATCATGACCTAAATATAAAACATGAAATTATAAACTCCTAGAAAATACTATAGAAGAAAATCCAGTTGACTTTGGGCTTGGTGATGACTCTTTTTTTTTGGTTCAAATTAATGATCTTATTTCTATCTTTAATGCTAGCTGAGGAGTCCAAAGCAGACTGATGTACATGGATATGATTTCCAAGAATTAAAAAAAAAAACCAAGCCTTTAAATGATCAGAATGATCCACAAGAGACTTAATAGTGTGCCATAATGAAGCCCAACACTCTTTAAAGAAACAACAACATTCAACATTCACTATAAAAATCAGTGCCTGGCATCCAATAAAAATTAGTAGGCACACCATCCGCAACAACATGGATGGACCTAGGGGGTATAATGCTACGTGAAATAAATTAGTCAGGAAAAGACAAATACCATATGATTTCACTCATATGTGGAATTTAAGAAACAAAACAAATGAACCAAGGGAAAAAGAGACAAAAAACCAGACTCTTAAATACAGAGAACAAACTGGTAGTTACCAGAGGGGAGGTGGGTGGGGGATGGGTGAAATAGGTGATGAGGATTAAGGGCACACTTTTTTTGATGAGCACTGAGTAATGTATAGAATTGTTGAATCATTACATTGTACACCTGAAACTAATATAACACTGTATGTTAATTATACAATTAAAAAAAAGAATAAAATTACTAGGCATACAAAGAAACAGAAAAACATTACTTGTAACCAGGAGAAACATGAATCCACAGGACAGAATCAGAAATTACAGACTGTGTAATTAATCAACAAGAACCTTAAGACAACCATTACAAATTATATAAATAGACTGAAGTGTATAACTGAAAATCATGAAATAGAATAGGAAGAGAAAAAAAAGATAAAAAAGACAAATCAACCTTTTAGAGATGAAAAATGTGATCTGTAAAACAGACAAAAAATGACCTCTAGAAAGGAATAACAGCACATTAGACCCTGTAGAAGAAAGATCAGTGAGCCTGTGGACATAGCAATAGAAACTATCCACAGTGAAGCACAGAGAGATACAAAACTGGGAAAAAGGAACTGGGCTATAGTGAGCAATGAGACAGTATTAAGTGGTCAAAAAACACAATTGGACTATCAGAAAGGGGCTGGAAGAGAAAAAGAAATGTCTGAAGATATGAAAGATGGAAATTCCAAATGTGTGAAAACCGGAAACCCAAAGATTCAAGAAAGTCAATCAACCTCGTGTATGAAGAAAATGACATCAAGTTATATCATAATCAAATTGCTGAAACCCAGTCATAAAGGAAAAAAAATTCTAAAAGCTGCTAAAAGAATAGATACATTATGTTTCTAGAAAAAGATCACAGCAGAAAATCTTTGTGATCTTGGTTTAGGTAAAAAATCTTTTAGAATATAAAACCATATACTTTAGGGACGCCTGGGTGGGTCAGTCAGTTAAGCATCTGCTTTCGGCTCAGGTTATGATCCCAGAGTCATGGGATCGAGTCCTGCAACAGGCTCCTTGTTCAGAGTATAAATATACTTGCAAATGAAAAAAAATGTCTGGAAGCCCTTCACATAAATGAACCTGCTAACAGAGCCACTTCTTGAGAATGAAATTCGCAAGCCAAAAGATTGGAGGACTTTACTTTTTTTTTTAATTTTTTTTCTTTTAAGGTTTATTTATTCTGGAGAGACAGCATAAGCGGAAGGGGCACAGGGAGAGAGAATCTCAAACAGACTCCACTAAGAATAGAGCCCAGTGCAGGGCCCAGAGGGGGCTCGATCTCAGGACCGAAAGCCAAGAGTGCCAGGCTTAACCGACTGCACCACCCAGGTGCCCCAGACTTTACATTTTTGCTCTACATACCTCAGTGCAGTTTGGATTAAACACAAAGCAATACGCTTAAACACATAATACCATTAAATATCATTTTAAAATTAAAATTAAAATATCATTTTAAAATTTAAAATGTAAAGTCAAAAAAAAAAAAGAAAGAAAGAAAGAAAGAAACTAGCCAATGGGGACATGTACCCTTGAGCAACATTGGAAAGGATGAACGAGGTGACGGAATTCTATCCTTTATGTGCTCCATCCAAACTTGGAGGACTCGGCCTCCTCTTATGAATCACATCAAATATGCTTTCCTCTTTACACAAGTAATCTGCTTCTGTTACAGGAAATCCAGAAAGTAGAGAGGAAGACAAAAAATACCTACAACACCGTCATCCAGAGAGATAACCACTGTTAACATTCTGGTACGTAATTTTCCATTGCCATTTAAAAAAAAAAAAAAAGCAAAGCTGGGATCATTATCTACATCCTGTTTGGTGACCTGCTTTAAAAAGAGTGTATCATGGCCATCTGCTCCTGGCATTACCCATTTTGCCTGTAGCATAGATTGCAAGGCAGCAAGGCATCTTATCAGTAAGTTGCACCATACTTATTTTACCCATTGCTTTTGTGCACACCCAAGCTGTTTCCATCTTTTAGTATCGGAAGGAATGCTGCAGGGATGCCCTTTGCTCATGTACTTATCCTTGTTCGTGTCCCCCATTAATCTTGGTTGAGGTTAAAAGTCCTAGAAGTGGAATTGCTAGGCGCAAGACCATAACACTTTGAAGTCTTCTGATCTATTTTGCCAAATCAGCCTTCTTTGAAGTCTTCTGATCTATTTTGCCAAATCAGCCTTCTTTGAAGTCTTCTGATCTATTTTGCCAAATCAGCCTTC